AAGTATGTATGGGAGTCAGAGAAGTGTGAGCCTCTCACCCAAGTATTCCAACCTTATATCAGCAGTTCCGAAATCACTAGATCTTAGAGCTGGCCTCTCCTAGGAAGTGTTTTATTTTGAGACTTAAATGTAGGCTTGGTGTCATCACCTGCCTGGCTCCCACCCCTTTGTCAGCCCAACTATCCAGTAACCCTGTCCTTCAACTGGCATCACGGCAAGCAGCCACCAAAGCCACACAGTGAGTTCTCTGCTTGGGCAAACCAAACCTGAGCCTTGTGGTGGGAAGTTGGCCAGCCAAGCCCACTCCTAGTCCTACCCAGAGCCATACAGCTCTCATCACTGTTGTCATATACACATATAAACATTTGCAGCTTAGGTATATGCTGGCTAGCATGCTTCCATACAGAGACAGAGACAGCTTCCAATAGAGATAGCTATTTCTATGTTCTAGATATTCTTTTCAGTTCAACAATTACTGGTCAACAGCAATGGGCCAGCACCAGGATCTGAGATCACAAAAATGAGAGAGAGCTGATCTCTGACATCAGGGGGCTCCCCAGGGGCTGCAAAAGGCAGGAAAGAGAAGCACTTCCTCCACTCCTCTGATTCCTGAAGCCTTTAGTGGCCAGAATGAGCTGAACAGACTTTTAAAGAAACTTTTCAACCTGTTAAGTACATGAAAGTGGGGCTAGAATTCAAGATTCCACTTGAATAACACGTGTGTCTTCCTCATTCAAGCAGAGATACAAAGGAAATTGAGTCATCAGTTGTTCACTGTGCATAACCCCAGAATTTCTCTCTGAAGTAAAGAAGATCCCCTTTGAAAATTACGCCGTGCATGGCAGCACCTGCCACCTGGTTTCACAAGAACCACTTCCCTCTTGGGCTCTGGGTGGAGCTGGCTAAAATGGAGGTGCTGGGGAAACACAATTGAAGCTGACATCTGGTTCCCAGCCCCAAGATAGGCTGGTGGGAGGGGCCCAATTCACCTCCCACCACCTCCTCTCCATCAGTGTACCTCAGTCCTGAAAACTAAAGGCTAATTTAAAATCTCACTTGGGCAGCCATGTGTCACCTACAGTTCCACAGTGGGTTTTGATTCAAGATCCCTGATTTATGTAGAGGACCATATTAAGCCCACTGCCTGGGACCTCAAGACTGCTCTCATTGGAGACACATACAACCTGCCGATGGCATATGACTAAGGGACTCTGTGGGCCACTGCATCTAAAATGCCTATAGGGACAATGTGAGAATGTCTACAGGCCCTCTTTCTTAATTTACAGGCAGAAGGCATTGCCCTGACTTGTCTGCTAGATCGGGAGCAGCCTCCCTATTTTCCTATCCTGCAAATGAGAGCATGTCTAGAAGGGCAGCTGGGCGCTGATAAGGAAATTGACTTATTTTAGCAACAAATAACTAGGTTGGCATCTCTGACAGCTGTGGCCAAGCCTAGAGAAGACAGGTCAGGGCAGGACAGGGCAGCCAAGAGTCCACAGCCTTTGCAGGGTGGAGAGAGAAGTCATTCATACCAAGCTATGCTGGCCACAGGGGACAGGGAGAACCATGCAGAATTTCTAAAGATATCCAAAGGCAATTAATGAATGGAAGAAGCATAAGTATTGGAGTATGACCTGGGACAATGTTAGACAACGGGAAATCCCAACTCCACCACTGTGTCCCCGGGCAAGTCACACATCTTCCTGATCCTGATTTCTTTTACCAAGAAAATGGAGTTAAGAAAATACTAATGCATGAGACTTCTGTGGGGCTTTAATGGAAAACCTATTCCAAACCCCAACCTGATGCCTAACTGAGAGTCGGCGTTCAGTAGGTGTTTTTCTTAGGGACTGAAGGCACTGCTTTGCACAAGACCATCTGGTGCAACAAAAAGAGTGAAAGGTTTTAAACACTGAGGCATTTCTAACCATCCAGTGATGTCCCCAGAGGCACTAGAAGGCCTAGGACAAGACAGAGAATCTTTCTCAGACATCATGACATGGTAAGACATAGTGTCATTGGTCTTATATTAACTCAAACTGGGTAAGTCTTGGATTACAATACAAGTTGTTGTGAGTGTGTGGGATAGTATTCAAGGCATTAACTGGATGTTGTTATCCCCACTCCATAGACCACACCTTCCTTACCACTGCAGGGGGTAGGATGGGGCTCCTACAGTCCTAAAAGACAGAAGCCTTTCAGAGGTCTGCCTTCATACCCTAACATGTCTCAGAGAAGTCTGCTTCCTCTTTGGAAAATGAAGGGGGTTTTCTAAATGATCCTTAGAGTCCCAGTCTCTCATTACAATGAATCAGGAAGTATTTCTTGAATGAATAGAAGGGGATCTGTCATACACTAGAAATTTCTTGCGGTCCCAACATCCCCTACTGCAGAAGTGAATTGGAAGAAAATGGAACTTTTTCCTATCAGCTTCTGGCCTCCAACACATCTATTTGTCCCCATGCTTTTTCAGGAAGTAGTTATCTGCTGTGTACAGGGCAGTAACTGAATGCACTGATGCTACTACTCTGCAGGGATGGGGATTTTGCTTTCTTGTTTCTTCAAGTGGGAAAACATAGCAAAAGTTCTAACTCCCAGCAGAAGAGGGCATCTCTAATGCTCATGGGAACAGAAAGGTGCTTGCCACCCCAAGCCCCAGGGCTCTAAGACACACCCCTCTTTCTCAACGACAGGGGTGCAATTCCATAGCAATGACTTCTGGCCAGGAAGAAAGAGAGCTGGGGCACAGAGGCCTCCCTACCTTTTACCTAAGGCCACTTTCTTCCCTTTGTGTATGACACTCACTCTAGTTACCTGTTTTCCAACTCTGAGTTTCTGAGGCCAATGTTGCTTAACCCACCTTTGGCCATTTCTCTACTTTTTGATTTCTGATACAAAGACTGGACCCTTCCTTCTCCCCACAAAGCTTTACCCCTTTCCAAAGTTCCCTCATTTCTACAGCCCATCTCTCCCAGACTAGGGCAACAATAGTGCCTTTCCTCCCCCTCCTTTTGCTCCTTCCCCTCTGTCTGCCCAGCACCAAGCCCTCTGCTAAGTCCTTTCCAAGTCTCAGTTCCTTCCCAGCAAATTTACAAGCACATGAGAGCCAGGGTGCAAGCAGTCATCGCTATTGGCACTCCACTGTGCTTCCTCCAAATGCCTCTGCCCAAAGGGACCATGGGAACCTGAGGCAGGAGAACCTGGTTTCTAGGAGAACTCTGGGAATCAGGATGGCACCAAGTCTTTGGGGTGGGCTTTTAGCAGAACAGGAGACAGTGTGGGAAGAGGCTGGAGTCAGAAAACTCAGAGACAAAGAAGGAGATGGTTGGTAACAATACCAACTTTCTGGGAGGCCACCAGGAAAATTGCAAGAGTCCCTCTCCTCTGAGGATCAGCCTGGCCTCTCCTCCCCTCTCTCCTCTCTTCTCTCAACCTGAGCTTTTCTGCCTTTCAAGAGTCCCCTTTGAGCTCCACTTCCCTTCTGAAGCTTCCACTATGGCCGTTATTCCACCAGAACTCCTCCTTTCCCAAAATCCTTTCCGACTTTGTCCATCCCATGCTTCTCACACATTCTAAGCCTAGGCTCTGGGACTCTGAGCTCCTGTCCAACAGCACCCTTGGCTGTGTGAATGCCACCAAGTCACTTAGCCACTCTGAGCCTGTTTCTCTCCTGTAAAACAGCCTAATGGGCTACTTCCCACTGGGCAGTTGTGAAGGTAAAATGAGATGACACATATAAAAGATTTAGCACAGAGCTGGCACAGTGAAAGTGCACAATAAATAGTCACTAGTGCTATTATTGGTATTATTATTTCAGCTTCAGAAATCAAAATTCTAAATCCCCACCTATCCTCTGTCTAAAGTACCCAGGTTAGACTATGTCTTTATTTTCTTGCTACCCTCCAGAGCTGGGTTTAATAAATACTTGCTGAGTAAAATTCACTGTAGGCTGAGCTGATTTAATGACCCAGCTGGCACTTCTTAAAAGAAAAATTAATTTTGCTAGTGATAAGCAAATCGGCCATGTAATTATCTGTTCATATATAGACAAAGAAAGGGAACACTTGGAGTTAAGCCATGCTGGAAAAGCTCACACATAGCCCCTCCCCTCCACAGCCACCAAGAGCCACCAACCCTGTTTTGATGGAATATTGGAGCCCCAGCTTTAGGTCGCTGGTGTTACCCTAGTGTTGGGGCTCCCCTCCCTTTCGGAGCTGCCTGGAAGGGAATTTGAGCCACATTACTGTTTCCATTGCCCCCAGAATGATTGGCAGAACCAGGAGGTTGCAAAGATTGGGCAGCTGGTCCAGTCATTGCCTCTCCTGTGGGTCCTCCCTGTCCCAGGCTGCAACCTTGTAGACACCCAGAAACTTGCTACAGAGCTGGTTCAAGACCCCAGAAGCCTTTATAAAGGTGACTACAGCAGACAGACAGTAAAGGCTTTGGAAATCAGGCTCAGTGTGGAACCACTGAAAGCTTTCTGGAAAGCTCATTCTAGAAAGCCCAAGGCTCTCACTATAACAACTCTGTCGCCACCTTGCCGACAGCCCCCACCAGTCTCGGCGCCAGCTCCTGTCCCAGCATCTGCCCCTGCCCTGCCTGGCTCTGCCTTGGCAGCCACAGCCAGTGAGGCTCAGAGTGCACTTGAGTATGGGAGCCTGTTAGTCCAGACACCGGCTGCGCGCATCCAGTACAGTTACTTTCTGCCATGTGCTCCAGCTCCAGCGACCTCACCCAAAACTTCGCGTGGGCAGCCTGCCCAGCAAACTTTCTTCCCTCTTTTTCCTTTCCTTTCAACTAAGAACCGGTGCTTCCCATCAACAAACTCTCCAACAGCTTAGCGCAAATCCCACCCTGCTTCCCTGAACGCGATCCAAGTCGCTCGCGCCCACTTGACTGCAGTCCCACAGGGGAAGACTCAACCTGCAGGCTCCTGCGGGGCCTGTCCGTCTGGGCACTCCCGGCGCCCACTCCCGCTGTCCCAGCTAAGGGGCACTCACCGATCTGTGTCTGCGCCAGGCTCAGCTGCACCAGGCAGAATCCCCAGGCTGCGCGCCACAAAAACTTGTACATGGTGACGGAGTGAACCCAGCGAGCAACGAGTGGAGCTGGAGGGTCGCCGTGCGCAGGGCTGGGGACCAGCAAAGGACCGGGCAAGGAGTGTGGACCGAACCTGTCAGAGGCTAGGGGCCGCTGGGCAATGAGGCCGCCTCGGAAGTTGGCTGCAGTTTTTATTCGAGGGTTGAAAGAGTGACCTAAGAGGGAGGGAGCGAGCGAAGGACACACCCAAGCAAGGGGGCTGTGACTAAGCAGCCAGTAGAGGTTTAAAGACGTACCAGCCCTCTCTTCCCTGCCCGTCCGCCCTCCCCCAGTTCTGTACGGCAGTTAGATCCGAACTGCCCAGGCCGGCGCCTCGACGACAGCGGGGTGCCTGAGTCCGATAGCCCCAGCACCTGTGCGCCCCCAGGACGCACCGGCTTCCTTCTCCCGACAGCCTGCCCCGAGGGCCGAGAGCGTAGCCTCAGGACTGGGTCCTAAACCTCGCTCCGCTGAGTTCAGCCTCCCGCCTGTCCTTTCCAGCTAAATTTCTCAGAATCTGGCTGGAGAATGACTCTCAGGGTATCCCAGGCATTTGGTCATCCTGGGTGTGGAGTTGGGAAAGTGGGGAGATCCTGCCCTGGATGCTGGTGCCTCCCAAGCTATGATAGGGATGGGGTGGGGTGGAGCTTGTGGGAAAGCTCATTCTTCTTTCCCTCAGAGAAAAGTGAAGCTCTTATCATCGCTCAGGAGGATTTTTGCTTCTTATCAGAATTACTTAGGGAAAGCCAGTAGTCAAGGGGCTGGTATTTGGCTTTGCTAACCCATGCATCACACGCTGGCACTTTTATTCTTCCACCCACCCACGCACCCATTCATCTTCCCAAATAGCCTTCCATCTACTAATCCTTTCTTACATTCTCAGGGGCCTCACACATCCATCCGCCTTCCATCATTATCCACTCTCACCCATCCATTGTCCCATTCATCCGCTAATCCAACCACACATCCTTTCACCTCACATTCATCCAACCAGTTCCTCAATTCATTCAACCAGTTCCTCAATTCATCCAACCAATTCCTCAATTCAGTTATACAACTTCTCATCCATCATTTCACTCATCCTTTTCACATCCCTTCATTAACTCACAACCCCTACCATCCTCTTCTCCATCCATCCACCCCATGCACGCATCCACTCATCCCATCCCTCCTCTCATCTACCCACTCCCATTTATACTCCTTTCTATGCAAACATTAATCTACTCCCCCATCCTACCCAATAAATCTCATAGTCTTCAAAGGAGATATTTTGTGCTTGAAGATATGAAAAATAGTATTTTGAGTCATAATTCCATATCTACCTACCATATACCAGGAGTTGATATTTGGAAACCAAGATGCTATTACTTTTAATATGAATTACTGAAAGTAAGTCAGAACAGACTTCTTACCCAATGAAATTCACAGAGAATAAAAGTGTCCATCAGTGGCTGTAGCAAGACCCTGGTAAGGAACCAGAACAAAATTTCTGAGGGAAAGTATGATTTTGTAATTTGTTGAAACAAATTGAAAAATTGAGAGAAATGCACCCATCCATCCACCCATCCACTCATTTATCAAACACATAGTGAGTGTCCAAGGGTATCAAGATAAATAAGACCTGGCCTTGTCTCCAGGGGTCTCACACTTGGGTAGGCAATCAGCCTCACAAGCAAGCTGTTACTCCCAATATGAAATATGCTGTGGAATACAGCCAGCTCTCTGTATCTGTATATCAATAATACTTGAAAACAACCTGTACCTGCACTGAAAATGTACAAGCTTTTTTTCCTCATTATTGTCTGGACAATACAGCTTAACATCTATTTATACAGTTTTTGCATTGTGTTAGGTATTACAAGTTATCCAGCGATAATTTAAAGTGTATAAGAAGATGTGTGTAGGGTACATGCAAATATTATGCCATTCTATATGAGTGGCATCACATCTGAGGATTTGAATATTTTGGGGGATTCCTGGAACAAATGCCCTGTTGATGTAGAAGGATGACTGCATGTGTGTACAGAGTGCATCAGTCCTACAGTCCAGAGAAAGGAGTCACACTCTTTCCTGGGAGAGATCAGGGAGTCTTCCCAAGGCAGGTGATCCATGAGCCTGATCTAGAAAGAGGAGAAGGAATTCTCCAGAAAGTAGTGAGAAATAGCAAGAATTCAGTAATAGGACATCTACGTATCTACGTTCAATTCCTGTCCGCACAGCTTACTAGTTTTAGGACTTTTGAATAAGGCAGTGAGCCTTAGGTACTTCAATTTCCTCAAATATAAAATGGGTTTGCTAATGGTATGTACTTCGTAGAATTGGTGAGGATTAAATGCATATATTAAGTACTAGAGATTTTGTGTATAGTAAACACTGTATATATGGAATGACTTGAATATTAGGTTAGGTGAAGAGGTCGGGTAGGGGACACCAAGATGTGAAGCTAGAGAAGTATGCAGGGTCCAGATTGCAAACTGTGTCAGGGACTTGGAACTTGATCCTGCAGGCAAAAAAGAGCCAATGTAAGATTTTTAAATTATTAGGTCACAGAACATAAGACTTACTATGTTATCAATTTAAAAGTATGTAATTCAGTGACATTTAGTATATTCACAGTATTGTGCACCTGTCAGTAATGTGCAGTCTACTGTAGGTTTTTCAGTTGGAGAGAATTTTATATCTTCTTTCATTTTCAGGGACAGTGTTTGGAGCTGCAAAATCACTGGCAAGACCTCCTTTCTAACCACTCAGGAGCTGGCAGGCCATGGCTTAAGGGATTACTGGTCTGACATGAAGATAGAGCCTCAGAGCTCTTGCTTGAAAAGCAAGCACTTTGAGAACGTTGTCGGTAGCTGAAAAGAGCTGCATGTGCTGTTGTCTGTGATGATGAAGACACTTTATTGAAACAACTGAGGGCTTTGGGTTCTAGCCATATGGGAAAGCAGTCATAGTAGGTTTCATGGACAAGAGCACTGAGTGGAGAATGACTTTGAACTCTGCATGTTACCTCCAAGATTTCAGCTTTCTTTTCTTGGAGGAGGGGAAGGAAGTGGATAGTTACTAGGAGTGTTCCTTTCATGGAACCTGGAAGTTCCTTGGAGACCACCCTCTCCCCTAAAATAGACATAGAGATCAGAGAAAAAGTTTCAGAGTGGCTTCTTTCCCCCTCTCCTGTCCCCATCCCACCACAGAAGTTCCACTTATATCAGTTTTACATACCAGAATACTGTGAGAGATTTCATTTTGACAAAGGATTTTGCTCTTAAAAATATTCAAAAACCACCAAACTATATAACTTTGAACACTGTTCCCGTTTGCAATTAGTGAGTTAACAATGCTGCCAATAAAAAAAAGTGGGTCTGAAAGTGTTTTGCAAATAGATAGGCATGCAAATTCTAGTGATTATTATTAGGGTTATTCTCCCAGAGGGGAGTGTCTCGCCTGCCTCTTCCCGATAGTTTGGTGAGGGGCTGAGGCTGCTTGCCCCCATGCCACAAATGACTCATTTCAAATAACAGACCTGAGTCAGGTCCAGCCCTTGGGAATTCCTGGATCACCTTTCAGAGACCCCCACCAGAAGTCTTTCTTTCTTGTTTTCTCCTTTAAGCCTCTATAAAGGTTCAATTTTTTTTTTTTTTTTTTTGCAGTACTGGGGTTTGAACTCAGGGTCTACACCTTGAGCCACACTACCAGCCCTTTTTTGTGATGGGATTTTTTCAAGATAAGGTCTTGAGGACTATTTGCTGGGGCTAGCTTTGAACTGTGATCCTCCTGATCTCTAGGGGAAAGCAGAGATCCTGAGTAGTAAGGATTACAGAAATGAGCCACCAGCACCTGACAAGGTTCAAATCTTTAAAATGGCTCATTTTAGGTGTTCCATATCTGTTGTGTGTTGCACCAGTCATCCCTACAAGCCAAACCATGGGATGTGGGAAACTACAAAGGAGAGCTTGAATTGATCTATGCTGACATGAGATCATACTGTTTGGAAAGAAGCCAGAGTACAATCAGCAGCCTTGGACTGAGAAATCCCTACTCCAGCCCCAGCTCTCCTCTTATCATCAACCTAGTGACTTAGCCTCTGGGAATTTTGGATACAAAATTAGGGTAATGAGACCTGTCTCATAGTTTATGAGTAATAAATGAAAGAAGGCATCAGGACCCTTTACCGGAGTGCCTGCTTCATGGTGGGATCAATGTTCTCCTGCAGCTACCTCTAAACAAGGATGTACCTGTGTCAGGCACCTGTATGTACTCAGTCTCAGTGGCTGACATATCCCAGTCTCTGGAATTTCTGTTGTGCTCCATAAATAAGCATTACATAAATACATGAGTGACTGTTATTCTTTTCCTTCCCATCACTGCATATGGGGGTATTTCAGGAATCACATGAGCTAATAGTAGAGGTATTTACATGATGTGACCATTTCTAAGTAAATGCAGCAGCAGTGCCATATCTGGGGTGACTGGTTAAGTAAAACCATAGTGAAGCCAAATCATTGCTCACTCTAGCAGGTTAGGGTTTTTTGTTGTTGTTGAAATACTGGAACCTGATGGTTTTTGATTATAATAATAATAATTTATATTCTTCTTAAGCAAAGAAAAATCAAAGCTAAACCAAATGTGACTAGGAGTGTAAAGATCAAGGCTGGGAGACATGGCTGAATCATGGAACTCAAGGGATAAATGTGGCAGGTCATGGACTCTTTCAAAGGAACAATATTCAATTCTTTCATGGAGCCACTTCCCAGAAAAGGAGCAATCAATCAAGGCAAAGAAAAAGTGCCACTCCAGTTAAGCTTGAACTCTTAAAGAAGATCATTGTTAGTTATGTCACACTCACAGGGTGAATTCTACACATGCAAATAAACAATAGTTTTTTTAAAAACTTGTAAAATAATTAATAGTGAGGTTTAAATAAACCAGTTATCGAGAAGCAATCTTCATGATAAATAAATGACCCTGAATGACAAGTCTCAAGCTAACCAAGTGTGATTATGGAGTTGAGACTTTAGGATTAGCAAAAAAAAAAAAAGAAAAAAAAAGGTAGCTGGTATGACTGCTGCATGCTGGAAATGCCAAGGGCACAGGTGCCCCTGGCTTCTAGTCACAAAGAAGGTTTTACACAGAACTTTGGAGGTTAAAATAGTACC